GTGCAGTTTGAGGATTTAATGACATCCCAGAAAGCCAACCAATTTTGGATCTTGCTGCTAGCAAACTCAAACCACCTGCAATTCCTACTCATCTCAGAGAAAGTGCAAGCCAGCATCTTAGTTTGTTACTGGCGGGGCTACTACTACCTGCCTATCCCATTATAAGACCATGATTTCACTTGCTCGTAAAACTATGCTAAACTTTAACCATTTGGGGTACAATTCTCTGCGCTGTATGTTGGTCTTAGGAAGACCAACACAGCCAGCTATTTCTGAGACAAAGATTGAGAAAAGACATCGTTTTAACTCTAGTAAAAAACAAAAACAAAAACAAAAAAAATTCTGATGACCTTCCTTTGAAAAGCTCTAGCACTCCATGTGAAATAGCACAAGCTTGGAATTTATTCGGAGATGGCTTGTGGGTCTAGGATGGGCTGTTTGCTATTCTCTGACCCAAATATAAATGATTTAAAAAGCCCCAAAGAACAAAAACCTAACAGTTCACACACCTGCTTAGTTGAAACCTCAATCCTAACAGCTAAATTCCCCCCATACTCCATCTGCATTGAAAGTGGTTCAGGCCTACACTGAGCCAGGTCTTCCTCTGCAACTGCAGCTCCTGGATCAGAGCGTTAGGGCAGTGCAAACTGCAACTACATGATCAGAGCTGGTCAGGGACCACTGCGATCAGCAGCCATTGAACTGACTTGCAATTATCAATTTCCCAGCTGCTATTTTTATAGTGATTCGGAAAGAGTATGAGCCAAGGTAAACCTTGCCTCTCTGGGATGCTGCAACCCCTGCCGGGTGTGTCTCTTGGTTATCTGAATTGAGAGCAGAGAAACTCTCTCTTTGTGCTATTACTGTCCCTCCTGCTGGGCCAAGGCAGCACAAAGGAGGAAGCTCCTGGATTCAAATACTTAGGAGACCAGAGTCAGACCTCGGCAGTGATAGTAGGGGGGTGGGGGTTAGAAATGGATTAGGATAACAAATCGGAGAACCAAGAAGTAGGGAACTGAGCTGTGCAGAGAGACTCTTGATTAAGAAAACTTCAGCTGAAAGGCAGTAGATAGAATTAAATGCTAAGGAGGACAGATACTGGTTTGACAAAGAGACTAGCGCAAGAAACTGGAGGTGCAGATGGAAAGATTTTAAATGAGGACCCTGGGGACTAGAAGCCAGTGCGCATGGGGAACCATGAGGCAGGTAAACTGAAAGCAGCTGAGCCAAGGGACTGGGGATAAGAGGCTTCAGAAATAAACTTGTGCTGTCTAGGCAAGGAGGTTGGGACTAGGATGAACAGCCTCAAACATACAGGTTAGGGTTGTCTAAGGAAAGACAATGGGACTCCAATGAAGAACCAGGAATGGGGGGGAGGAGGAACAGAATAAGGAAAGACTGAAGAAGACAAGACATCTGGAGAAGTGGACATATCAATGTACAGCCACAAGAGCACACTATCCTCCAGAGCCAGAAATTACATCCACAGTTATGGGGTCTCACTATTCCTCTGCTCCTCATATAGCTGTAAAAACCCATGGGCAGCATGCATGTCTCTCAGCTGGTCCACAGAGGATAACAGCTTACTACTGCCAGCAGTTACGTTGTTAACTCAAGAGGCAAAGATCAGCGCTGTGGACCAAGAAGTTTCATTGCTGCTAATAACCCATGTGAGTACTAACATTATGTGATATTTTTGGTTGGGTTTTTATTAAAATCTACAAATCCACACACATAAGGATGTGAAGCCAAGTACTCAAAAATAAAAATGCCAAAATGAATTAATAAATGCCAGAGTTAATGCTGTCCCTTTGCGCACATGCATTTATGATAGTGTTTAATGACATGACAACATCCTATTTTTCCAGCAGATGCTACATGGGTCAGACCCTGCTAAGAGGATGATATGGGGCTGTACAAGGAAGAAGGCAGTTGTCCATAGGACTCCCTCCTTCCCTTGTTGTGTAAGCTGGAAGGCATGAGGCAAAGGCCGTAAATCAAGGAAGGGCTGGGGTTAAGACAGCTGAAGAACTAGCTTTTATCCCTATTTCTGTTGTAGAACTCCTACACGATGCCACTTGCTTTGTAAGCTGTCATTACTAGTATGTATGCGTCTTATTTCCTGAAGTGTTTGAGATCCTGGAGTATGATTTGCAGAAGTGGCATGCACTCACAGGTGCAATGGATATCAATGGGAGCTGGCTTTGAACACATATAATGCTGTATACAATTGGACTGTGTACTCTGAAAGAAGGTCAGATGCTGGTCAGCTCAAACTATGAACACAAAATTAGTGGGCAGCTTTGACTGTAGCCTGTGCTTTAGCTCCTTACCTGTAAAACAGTGTATTGAGGGGTGGGAGGGACCTCTTTATTACAGTGATGTTGTAAATATAAGATCTATCAAGGTCTATGAAGCCTTTAGAGACTACAGTGCTGAGCACCACAAAAAAGCCTAAGGAAGTGACTAATTCTATCTTTAGAACAGGTTTTGTCCAGCATGCAGTAAATAAAGTATCAGGTCACAGACTGAATAGTGAAAACTATGGGAGCCCAATCCATAATGTGTACGGAATGGGCCTATGGAAAAAGCAGCATGTGATCATGAATTAAAGATCATCTTGGAATAACTATATATATATATATATAAGAAGCCTAATTAGAATTGCATAGGCAGCCTTAATTCTGACATTTTAAAAGTCTTTTAGTAGCTCATTTGCCCATTTTAATAGTGTTCGTTTAATATAGCTGTGCGCACGCCATATTTCATTTCAAAGATTATACACATTTGTATACAAATTAGATGCAGCCGTCCAGTCTCTGGCATGATGCAACCCTTGTCACCAAGAAGGCTGGGTGCCTCTGAACTAAGATATACCTTTTATAAGAAAAATATTGTACAACAGAGTGTATAAATGAGAGCGTTAACAAGTCATCCGTTACTGTCACAGGCAAGCAGTGCAAGGCATTACATAGAGCAACACTGCACTCTGCTGGGAGACAATGAATATAACAACTGTTATGCTCCCTAATAAGGGCTTACGATGTCAAATTCCCTGGAACTCAACAACTTACAGCCCAATCCTATAGCTCTCACTATCACTGATAATCTTCTCAATTAGCAAACAGTTCACGTAACAGATATGCTCATTATCATCTTCTTTGGTGCTGCCAAACTAAGGGTGTTCAATACCAGAAAACAAATTCAATACCACAAAAACAAGTTGTGCTGTTGCTAAACCCTGTAGAACTTAAAAACTGTTCTCATTAACACAGAAAAACTGGTGCCTGCAGAATTTAGAGAGAGAGTTCTAGGAGAAAAAAAATATATTGGGGGGGGGGGGGGGGGGGAAAGGAGGAAGGTCAGGTGTAAGTGCTACTAACAAGTATTTATGAAAATAACCAATCCAATCTTACTTTGAACTATGATGCTCCTAGAGTTAATGTGTAAGGGTGTCTTTACATGTGCTCTAGGGTGGGGTGCTTTAATTAAAGCAGCTCCCACAGTGTCTTGTGTATTCAGCACCCCACACTTCCAAACAGTAGCGGGGGCGCTTTAACTAAAGCTTGTTTTCTGAGCTTTAACTAAGTGCCCCTGCTGTCATTTTGAAGCACAGAGAAGCAGAATACACATGACACAGAGGCTAACTAGCATGCTCCAACAGAATTGATTAATCGAGTCAGCTCTGACGTGTTGGTAATTAGCACCCTTCAGAGAAGGTGTTGGGCATGTGTGTAGGTGCCCTAAGCTGCCACCCTGTCCTGCCTTCTTCCTGATTTCAGATTAGGACAGCTAACTACCTCTTGCTATTAATGCTGTGTATATTCTGCACTTGTCTGCATGTCAGTGTCTTCTGCAAAGCTTCATTGATGGATACTACTGAATAATTTGTATTAGTTTTTCTATTTAGAATAACACACCCTGATGGACTAAGAGGCTGGGGCTACCTCAGAGTACTGGGAATTTGCTCTCTTTCCTGAGAGTGAAATATTTTGTTGTGAGCTGGATTAACATTTGGTTTATTTCACAGGAGAAGAGAGCTGGAAAGAAAGACTGAAATGAAAGGAAAGTTATTGCTTTTCATATTAAGTGAAGGAGGAAGAGCTTTCAGGGAAACTTTGTAGCAAGAAAGAGGGCATGAGGACAAGAGAGAGAGAGAGAGAGAGAGAGAGAGAGAGAGAGAGAGAGAGAGAGAAGGCTCTGCCAAGACAGAATGTGAAAAACTGAGCGCAGAGAAGAGATGTAGGCAGGGGAAGAAGCAGGTGTGCACAGCCTTCAAGCAGATTTTATTGCCAAGTTAAAAGGAAGGCAATGAAGGACTTCATAGGAGCAGCATAAACCAGCAGGTGGGTTGGCCCCCACCCCATGGAGTGTTTAACTATTGTAGAATGGCAAATTCCCACACTCTGATCGACCATATGTTGCTGCATGTTCCTGTAGTAAAGCTTCTTTCCTTCTCTATAAGGAGTACTTTCTCCTTTTTGATTGGGGTAATCTCTTGCCATTTGAAAAAAATAACCTTTCTAAATTCCCTTAAAATACTTATAGGGCAGTCTCTGATTATGGCTAGAAGTAACTTTGAACCATCTCAAAAAGGGAAAGGAGAGCTGCCCCTCTGCAGTGCACATCAGCAGTTACAGATTAACTGTTACCTTTGCATGCTCTCACAGCAATGCAAATGAACTAAAATTGCTGCCAACTGAACCCTGAAAAGAAACAGGACTAACGTCACAACAGTTTTGCTACACCTGTATGGTTAAAGGACCACAGGGACTTTATAGTTGCATCATACAGGACGCAAGAATTAAAATTAGAGAAGGTAATTTAAACCCTAAAGAATCTTTTCAAGTCCCTAGGAGAGCTCCTTGACAGTCTTTTTACTGCAATCCCAACTGTGAGGCATGAATAATTTATCCAGTACTCTGCCACTAATTACCAAAACCAACAAAGAAAGCCAAGGTAAAAAAATGTAAGTGCAAAAGTGGAAAAATTATACTAACCTCAAGCCTCTTTTCAAGAGACTCTATTCTGTCTTTTTTGCTGGCCAGGTTTGCTCGGGTGTATCGGTTCTGTCCGGGTAGGTATAACACCTGGCTGTAACATTCTTCCCACACCTGGTTATAAGCTTCACTTGAGAGCTCTCCATGCCCCATTCCTTGCTTTACCACCTCCATCTCTTGGGCCAATAGGTCTTGAGCCTGTTGGGAATGATGAGATAAATTACAACAACAAGATACAGGATGAGGCAATTTCTCATTACCTCCATCATGCAATTAAGAGAGGTCATTTCTCTCTCATTACAAAAACCTTGTTGTTAGCATAACCTAACTATGAAGTTTAACACAGATGCTATTGATTTTAAATGAATCCCAGGAAAGGGGCTACTCCTACTGAAGTTAGCCCCTCATTTCAAGCAGCTCCACCAGTCCTGATATTCCACTCTGCCGTCCTTTGCAAAAGCAGTGAAACATCTCAATCTGACTGCAAGACATAAAAGCAATTTGTTCAAGAGAGAGAAGGGCAGGTATTCTAGCAGCTGCTCTATAGGACAGAAATCACTTCTCTATTTCCTTTTGCTTCTCATCTTTGGAAGAGCTTGGGAAAATCCATACTAACATGCAATTCACACTATGAAGCAGGGAAGACTATGCTGTTCATAGCTATAAAATACATTTTGACAGAGGAGGACACAACCAAATGGGGACAGCTAATACCCATCAAGCAGAACAATGTGTGCCTATGTCTCCAAAGAGATCTTTGACATTGCAGAAGCCTGCTCTGTTATACTGGCATAACTCTATGGATCAAACTGGTATGCAGAGGTCAGTCCCTGGTCTCAGGACCACACCCGGTATACATGCTAGTAATACGTCCAATAAAAAGCAAAGACAATCCGCAACACACAACGCCATAGCTCCCATTTCCACTGTGTGCGTTACTGTAAAAAGCAAACGCTGCGTTTCCATATTCAATGGATTCTCAACCAGGGTACCCAGAAATTTCAAACAGAAATGCACAGTTACGGTCTTTCTGAGTTCTTTGCAACAAAAAACCTGCTCTATTATTTTTCTGTAGTCAAAAAAGTGAAAGCTAAGAGCTGTTATTTCCCAAGGGGTGACTTGAGTCTTTCCAATGGTGCCTCGAGTTTAAAAAGGCTGAGAACCACTGTAGTAGATAAACCACTGAATGTCAGCTAATCCTTATAGTAGCAAGAAGCCTGGAATCATCCACTTGGACGAATACAAAGAATTAACCAGGCACGCATCTAGATGAGACAGAATAATAAGAGTCAAAACATTTTTATTATAGTTAAACCCTAAAAAGCATTTTTTCCCCTGAGAGCCTGAATTTTCACCTCTTGATGGCCTGGTTAGATTATTTTGTTATGAATCCATGTAGTTTTCAGAGCTTTATAAGCTCCATTATTTTAGATAGCCCTTTGTATAAAGGGAGAAAATGTGGCATCTTCTAAAGAGGGCCGAGAAAAAAAAATTAGAAAAGCGTCAAAAATCCACCTGAAAGTACAGATGGCTGTATAGGGGGTACTGCTCAATGAACTGAGAGAGCAAGGAGAGAGTGAAAAACAAGTTGTGTCTGACAATTAAGAAAAAAAAAAAAATTTCCAGTGACTACTCAGCAAGTTTCCAGACAGGGAGAACTACTGGAATGTGGAACAGTCTCCAAGGGAAGTGACAGAAGCCCCGATCCTTGGTAAACTTAAAAATAGACTGGACAAAGCACTAAAATGTGTACCTACGGGAACAATCTGACTTTGGCAAGGTGGTGAACTACATGATCTAACTGCATTTTCCATCTCTAGCTTCTACTGCTACGAAATTTTCAAACATAATTTTTCATTCACTAACATGCTGGAAGTACATTTTGTTCAGCATTGCTAGTCTTAGGCTCTTGAAATCACAACTGAGATATGATCACAAATCTTGTTGGTTTTTTGTTGTTGGTGGTGGGGGGGTTTTTTACATCTTTAATGTTTCCGAGGAACCAGCTATCTGGGCTGGGCAGTCTAAGAACCTGTACAGAAATCTATCTAGAACCTAACCATGCAAGACCTTTTTATATAAAACATAGTAGAACACAAATTTGTCCTTTTCATCCATTTTGATGCCAAAGTAACATTAGTAAAAGATTACTGGCAAACTCACAGGGGAAAACCTCTCAAAGAACAAACTCCACTGATTTACTTCTGAAATTTGTTATCTGTTATTTGGCTATACAGTAGAACATCTGTAATTACTTAATGCATGCATATCCTGAACAAAAGCCCTTGGTACATGACCCAGAGACAGTTGCTTGATTTGGAGGATAGAAGCAAGTCAAGATGGAGCTCCCAGCCGGAGTGCTGTGCTGTTCCAGTAGCAACCAAGTCTGTTTATATAGCAACCCTTATGTCCAGCCAGCTTTGCTTCAAGCTCAGTTGTTGTAAATGAAGATCCCGTTAAATACAGAGCAGTGGAATTGGCAGTGGCATAAATCAAATACCATGGCCTTAGAGCTGAGCATTGCTAAAAGCTGTTTATAAAGTTGACAGCGACTAGGTGGAGAAGGGTGTTGGAAATGCGTACTCATTATTTTCCATATAATACTGTGGCATTTTTCAGCTGACTGTCTCAAGGTCCTTTCCAACATTTACCAAACAAACCAACCACCCTGGGGATACAGGCAGTGGCTACAGGAAAGCTGTGTGGGCTGAAGGAGTCGGGTCGTAACTTCTAACCCTAGCTGTATTCTGGCTCTGCCACTGACTCAATGGCTCTACAAGGCTTGGAAAACTCATTTCATCTTTTTGGTCTCTCTTTCCCAGTGTGGAAAAAGTAGAGAATACACATGGACCTCCCATACTGGAATCCTGTAAAGGTTAGTCAGTGCCTAGGCAGCTCTGAATGAAGAAAATCAAGTGCTAAACATCATACTTCTTGGATTGTTTCCACCCCAGCAGTGAACACAAGAAAAGTATGGTAGTTCTCTAGTAATGAACAGTAACAATACTTAGCAGGTAGAGGATAAGAGGAAAAGATCACACCCTATTTAAGGCTACAGGGTCATTTAGTTTAAAATAACAAGTAGTTTTACTGTGGCAACAGTAGTAAGAAGTCTTGGGCCAAGTGATTACGACTAGTGTTTTAAATTTTATCCAAAGAAACCCAACCTTTCCAGCACACAATGCCTCCCTTCAGCAGGCAGAGGCACTGGCTTAGGAATAAGTCAGGGGGAGACTGGGCCTCTGAACTACCAACGACACTTCTTGCAGCACTTCTAGTCTTTGAAAGTCTCCCAATACAGGTTCACCTCAGCCAGTGCCTGCTTTCCCTGGAACATGACAGGATCTAGTGCCCATATGTTGGTAGCAGTATGCCATACAGTTCTTACCTTCTTGAGGTCATCTTTGGAGAACTTATCGTAAGGACTTTGTTCCAGATAAGTCATATGCTCTGTGCTGCTGGCTCCAAATCCTGGGCCTTTCCCCTTCTTAGCCCCAGGCTGCTCTCCATATGGGTGATGCAGAAGATCAAAATGAAGCATGGTGATCATCTCTTTCTTTATCAGTTCTTCACTCTTCTGCAGGTCTGTCAGAGGAGGTTCTACATTCAAGGGTCTCAGGATTGTTTCATTAACCTACCCAGAAATAAAACATGTTTAGAAACAAACACTCCCATTTGCCAAACTGTACCTGTACCATTCAAACATTCCCGATGGAACTAGGAACTAAGCTGTATGCAACAGATGTTCAAAATGCTTCAAACCACATTTTACCTAGTCCAGATTTTGTATTCTAGATGGAGGCAGAATCTGGCCACGTGATAAGGAAATGAGCATACTAACAAAACAACATTATTCTATTCTGACCTTGCTTAGTTCTGTTATACCTCCCAATGAAGTTGAAAGGACTATTTTGGTATCTGCTTTAAAGCAAAGGGGAGCAATAAAAGGGAATTTGGATTTTACACAAATTGTGAAGAAACTTCTCGTACTTACTTCCGAAGGCCTTGGCAAATTCTTCTGAACAGCTTTGTGCATGCGCTTCAGCTCCTTTACACGTTCTGCATCTCTAATAGCCTAGACAGATATTTCACAAGTTAGTCCAGTCACTGCAATAAAGTCAGATATTTCCCAGTAACACGAGATGAACAGCAGTAGGCTCTACTGCAGGAGAATTTATGGGAATAAAGAACACAGCAAAAAACTGCACGAACAGGAGAGTGCAAGGGCCAACTGACCAGTCATTTCCACCCACTGTGTAAGATGGTCCTAATATAATACATGATCCAAAGCCCAGTAAAATTCATAGAAAAAGTCTCTCATTCACTTTGCTGGGCTATGGATCCCATGGACTTGTCCTCTCCAGTATGCTGTTCTTTAAGCATTTCCCCACCTTAGATTCAACCGCACAAGAAATCTACTCTATGACCCGACCTGGTCTTGCTCCTTCAGCTTTCTATGGCCTTTGGTCAATCTGTTGCCAGGCCAACACTGATCCCATGATGGCAGTTTAGAAAGCAACCCAGGGGTTGTATTTCCCCACATCCTGGCTATGAATAAAGTGTTGAGGCAGCTGTGTCTAAGAACAGAAGGATGATAGCCAGCATCTGTGCAAGAGGAGAAAATAGAGCCATGAACCATCCTCCAGCACACTTACAGAGACAGCCACGGGTTGGCTGCAGGATACTGGAACTTCAACGTAGATATTTCCAAATGTCTCTATTAAGGCTCAAAAAATATAAAAAAAAAAATAAAAAAGCAAAAAACTAGAACTCTTGGTTCAGAGATGATACCTTTTATTAGACCAACTGAGAAGTTGCAAAAAAATTATCTTTTTCTGCAAGCTTTTGGGCTCACATGCCCTTTCATCAGGCTCAGGGAAAGTTAAAGATGGTAAAAAGTCCCCATATGTAGGAAATAAACTTCATTTTTTCACAGAGGAAGCAGAAGCTGGAAATCTATTAAGACTCCTGCACTCAAAGACCTTTTATATTCTCTTATGTGGTGACATTTTTGTTTTTAAATTACACTCTGGGGGCACAGGTCAGGGAACACAGTTTGTCCTGCCTGTTGGCTTAGGAGCCTAGGCTGTTATAGTTACCTTACCTGATGCTATACAAGTTATTTGTTCCTGAATAAAGGAAATAGCCTTTCATGCCTACACAGTAGCAGGGCAGGCAGAGTGCTAGCTACACCTTTCCAGAGCTCCACACTGCACCTTTCTTGCAGCACCACTGGAAGTGCAGCCTCTTTAAAAGCCACCACCTCTTGGACAAGGTACCTGCTCTCTCTCTCTCTCTCTCTCTCCAGAGCAGTATTGCTTCAAAATTTTGCCCTGGATTTCAGTTTCCTTCAACTATAGAAGGGAGATAGATAAATGCTATTAGGTATTTACTCCATATGTGTCTCATAGTCTATTGACACCAACTTCTCACCCAGAGAACTCCATGGATTGGCCTGTATAGCTCCAAGTTGCCAAGCAGTTAGTACAAACAAATTCTGGAATAACAATGAATGGGCATGTCTATACATGAAATTAACACACAGTACATCAACTCTGGTGCATATCGTGCTGGAGTTTATTACTCCTGGGTGTGCCACTTGAATGTGTGCCTGGGACTACAGCACACTGAGCCAGGTTGCAGCAGTCCCAGCTGGCAGCGGGTCCAGGGGAAGAGGAATCAGCCTGCCAACCTGACACACCGAGCTGTAGAGGGACTGGCTGGGCCATGAGGGTGCTCCAGTGCAGGACTAGCTAGCAGGCAGCCCCCACACTGAAGCATCCTTGTGCTCAAGCCAGTCCCATCACCATCTACACATTCCTTGCTGTGCACAAAAAAAAAATTCATCCACAAAAAAAACCTCAGCCCCAGGATAGTACTTGATTTACAAGTACTAAGCTGTGGCAGAGTTTATTAGTTTACTGTGGCCTAACAGGACCGCTCACATAGACACTGAGATGTTTACTGTGGAGCTAGTTAGGCAGCTTGACAGTAAACATTTTGTGTAGATGCGCCCATTTTCATACTAACCAAGGGTATATATCATGTAATGTAAATACATCCCATCCTTTGGTTACAAGACCATGCAGATTTGTATTGTATTTGTATTCCACTCTATTTACAATTGTTTCCAAGAGAGGAGATGGCATTAACAAAGATCCTAACCTTTAATACGTATTCATAAGATTCAAATTTAATAAAGTTCTGTCTTTTATTCACTTTCCAAGGTAGATAACTAAAATGCTGCTTTAAAAAGATAATACACTAAAAACAACTTTCCCGTTAAATTTCTAAAATGAATATCCCTACCTTTGATCTTTAAAAAAAGCAGTGTGTGTGTGTGTATGTATGTATGTATGTATGTATATATATATATAAATCAGAGCACCCAGTTCGATAAAATCCAACTTGCCACACCTTCATATTAAAGTTCACATGTGATGGACTGCAGCTGCCATATTAGTGTGAATCTGAACGTATGTTTTTAATGGAAACTTTATCTGCATAATGATAAACAAATCTATGAATCTTTGCAGAATCAGAACTTAGAAATAGAAGAAATATTTTCATCATCTTTTTCAGGAGATTCTTATTAAACCTTTCAATCTGTTAAGATTAGGTGGGATTTATATTTTTAATTTACTTAACTTTAAAAAAATTCAGTTTATATTATAACGTTAGTATGTTCCTTTAAATATACTGACTAGAAGTGATTCTCAACCAGGGTGTTATGACAGTATTAGGTATGCAGTCATGATCCACAAGATAAACCCAGTGATTTCAAATGGAATCTATAGTGCTAAAAACATTCTGATGTGCTGTGTCTGAATTCTTTGCAACAGAAGAATTGCTCTATTATTTTTCTAGAGTCAAAAAACTAAGCTGGCATTTTCTAAGGGGTCCCTTGAGTCAAAAAAAAGTTGAGAACCACGGTCCTAAAAAGTCAGTCCACTTAACAGTTTTGCTCATTTTCCTCTACATGCCATTGCTTTTACTAAGAATTCTTCTCAAACCACATGAAATAACCTACTGCATGGAGCCTTGCTGGCAATTTATTAACTTATTCTCACCTGTTTGCGAGCATCAATATCAGCAGCATCTTCCACAAAGGTCTCATCTACTTCATGTTCCTCAAGCTCTTTTTCTGCATTTTCTGGTAATACAATCTCAAAGTCATTCTTTGGGGCAGGAAGGGACAGAAGGCCTACACGAAGATGCTCACGAGACTCCCTCTCCTGTTGAAAGTTAATCAAGTGTTAATCATTCTGTATTTAGGAACAGAGATTTATGTAACATAGTAGGTTTCCATGTTCCTAACCTAATACATACACACGAAAAAGGAACAAAAGTTCCTTATGGTGATTTTTAAGCTTTCTGGGAAACCAATTATTAATAGAACACATAAGTGAACATTCATTTTAAAGATGTTTTGTGAAGGAGGAATGTTATTAAACCCTGTCATACAAAAGGCAGAGAGAACACACTATGGAGTGAAGGAATCTCTTGGTGTTTGCAGAGGATGTAGAGCTTCCCTAAAGACACCTAGTGCAAGAAAAAGCACTCAGAAAAAACAGACAGTGGGCTACTGTAGCTTAAGAGTGGCTCTTTTTAGTGGATCTTCCAGTGCAACATTAGGGTTTCACGAAGCCACGCATTTCGTGAAGGCATCAGATAAGAGTACTGGGTATAGGGCTATTTATGAGCTGGCTAACTTAAGACTTTTCTTTTAGATAGTACCGCAGCTTCCACACAGTGGCTTAGACCTGAAAAAAAAACTATGATACAGTGGTTTAATAGCAAAAGCAACAGCACACTGGGGAGATTCGTAGGATGTCGAAAGACCTTGCTGACCCTTTCATAGGCAAAAGCCAGGCTTACTTTAAACACACTGACATCACACTGAAACACTCTTTAAGTACCTACAAATAGGCCTTGTCCTTTAAACTGAAAGAAAATTTCATATTCTGGATTCTAAGAGCTATATCCTTAAAAAAATAAAATGGGCTTTGGATTGCATGTGTTTTGCTAGTCCTAAGAGAAACACCAATGCCCCTGGTGGGAGCCATCCAAAGCCACAGTACAGGCTGCAGTTAGCCACATAAAAAGGAGTTCCAAGGTAAGGCCTATTAGCTCTGTACCCTCTTACCCTACATCTAATTGGCAAGATTTATCTGGCCGAATAACCAAGACTGGAAAACTCTGTTGCCAAAAGGTAATGAAAAAATCTGAATGTGACCACAAGATTCCTGGGCATCCCAAGGCCAAAAGCTCCTAATGGGTAAAACTTAAAACTCTTTTAGCTCCATTTTGTCAACACTGAAGGCTGATGAGAAGGTCCTGTACCTGGAACTGGCAGCCAAGATTATGAGGGATTTGAGGGTTTAGTTGGATTGCATGAAAAATTAATCTTTCCTTGAGACGGAGTATTTCCTGTTCAGCTTCAAAGAGCCAAGCGGGACTAAGACCTTGTTATTTCCAAACATCTTTCCTTAATGGATAGTTTGAGCTCTTTCACTCAAAGCCATTTTTAGTTTTCTTATGTGGCAACATTTTTGTTTTTAAAATATACTCTTGATGTTACAAAAATGCTAAAATGGGAAAGTATGTTAAGGAGATAATCTTAACTCTGAAGACGTTTAATGGATGATTCAGGTCCCCTCATGTTCTACTTACCAGCTGCTTTGTATAAGATGGGTCACTGTAATCTGCCATTCCTTCCTCTGGATTGATGTTTAACTTGTCTCGCAGGGGAGTTCTACCTGGTGTTGCTCCAACTGCTGGTTTAGGAGTTGTTCCCCCACGAGGGGTTAAACCTTCTGGTCCATGAGAAGGAGTCCTAGGAAAAAACCCCCATATTTGATCTATGAAGCGGCACCAGAAAATATATCCAGATGTTAATAGGACACTAAAACCAGTGGTAAGCTGATTACAAGGAGCAAACTAGTACCAAATTGGGTAAAGGATATTTCAACCTGAAGCCTAACAGATTTCAGTGCCAGTGAAGAGAAAATTCAGGTGTAAAACACCTGGTCCAGCAGTTAGGACATTAGCTTGGGACTCAAGAAAGAAAACCTTCCTGAAACAGGTCACTTGTTTCTCTGGCCCTCATATGGCCATTAATGAAATTGTACTTCTCAACCACCAAGGCTTTCAGGAAAGTACATATATTAAAAGAAAGCTGATTCAGTGATTGGAGCCTGTGCAAATCACTTTAACAGATAAAACACTTTAATAACGCTCTTTGTTATTTGTGATGATGTTTCACATTGCGATAGGGAAAACTGATAACACTTCTGTACAATAATAAAATCAACAACACTAAAGGAAAAGATACTCACTCTTTACAGTATAGTACAGTAAATATAGAGACACTGAGTAAAAACTAGTAAAAATTTTCACAGAACAGGATAGAACATGTGCTGTACAGAACAAGCCTGGCCAAGAGTGAGCTGGATTATATGATTTAATAGATCATTGTGTTTCTAATTACTATGATTCTGCTGTAACACTATAATAAAAAACGTATTGGTAATTTCTCTCCATGAAGAAAAAGTAACAGTACATACACACACACTGACTCTCTCAGAGCACCATATTTAAAGTACAAGAACAAAAGTTATATCATTTTAACAATGGCATTTAGAAAAATACTGCCATTCGTTTTTAGACTTAAAAAAAAAAAAAAGAAAAAAAATAAGGTATTTCAGCAAATCGTCCATCAAAATGTCAAAACCAATTTCACTGAACTTCATTTTATTTGGCCCAGAACAAGCAACATTCTAGTTTCACTGAGAAGAAACGCAGTTTTTCCTAGAGCCAAAAAAAATTAGAGACTTGAATGCATTAAAGTAACATTTTAAAACTTATATTTTCAGAAGTATTGTCACAACTAAGGCCTCGGTATTCTGTAGTGAAAGACGACAGTTTCCATGGCTTAGTAGCAGCAAAACGTTAGAAATTTCAGATTACCACAGAGTAATAGTGAAGCATAGGAAACAAGATAAATGTATTCTTACTTACATGTTTAGAAATGCTCTGTTGAACAAATAAATAGTAAAACGATCTAACCCGTTTTAAAACCTCTAATGGCAGGAAGGTTCTATTTCATTATACTATTGCTTCTTTAAATAAAAGGAGATACATTTTAATACCACCGTTTCTAATATTATATGCATAGATTTCTTTGTTCAAAATTCTAGATTGATACAAGCAAAGTACATTTACGCATGTGCAAACCTAAGTTTTCGGGGAGTGGAAATACTTAAATGTAAGACCGTATCTACTGATTTAATCCAGCAAGCAAAAGGGCACAGGCCAAACCCTACACTTCTGCTCAGCCCCACTAAATTCAACAGGTCTCCACAAAAAAAAATCTGGTTTTAGAGATTCCTTTGCAGAAGAGGGGTACGATTTTTTTTCCAGAGGTTGGTCTGAGAGGGTTTTTGAAAAGCTGCCACAAAGGCCCCTTTTATTTCATTCTGTACTTCCATGAACATGATATATAGAAATAAAATTAGAACTTGGGTTGAAAAACTTCACACACAAAATGCACCAAGGGTAATATTTTTTAGTCCTATGGAACTTGGCATTTGAGGTACGTGTGTTTATTCAGGACCTACTGTAAGAGTCAAACTAACAATTCCATAATATTTAGATTGGCAACAGAAGACATTTTATATATACTCACATATGTATGGCCTATAAAATATTTACCTCAGCTTTTCAAAGGTTCACAGTGGTTTTTAATCAAGTGACTCCCCACAGAGACCTCAGAGGCAATACTTGGAAAAGGTTATGATCTGTCACCAAACAGAATGCCAGTGTCCATCTTAAAACGTACCAGCAGCACGGTATTATTTATATTACCGTAGCCACTGGAGTAATAGGCATGGACCAGAACCCCAGATGATTTGATTTTTATAAACAGAGAGTAAGACAACGTGGGCTGGACTTGACAAAGATATATAAGGGAAAAAAAAAAAGCTAGAAAGATTGAGGCAGGGAGGGGAAATCAAGCTAGAGTTTGCCCTTGGACACTAATCCATTAATCCTGTTGCTTTACTTTATTGAAACAAACAAACAAACAAAAAACAAAAAAACAACCCCACATATACATGCATTATTCTATAAGCTTGTGGACAGAGGTGCTCTCTTTTATTAGACCAACAAGATTTTTGCAAAAAAAAATTCTTTAATTGCAAACTTGCGGGCACAAACAACCTCCATCAGGCATCAGAGAAAAGATTGTAAAAGTTCTCCTGCGTAGAAATGAAAGTGCATATTTCATAGTTCAAATTTGAAATGAAATCTCCATATTTTCCCAAGCTGGAAACAACTGTGACCACCTGAAACCTGAGATCCTGCCCCTGCCTTTGTCTAAGGTAATTTGCATCATCACAGTCTCACAGGAGAGCTGAGACTCCTTACCAGCTAACAACTGCTGCCCAGAGGGTTTTCCATCTATTGACTCCTCTGTGAAATCCTATGAAATATGAACTTTCATTTCTACCCAGGAGAACTTTTACAATCTTTTCTCCGATGCCTGATAAAGGGTGTCTCTGAAAGCTTGCAATTAAAGATTTTTTTTTGCAAAAATCTTGTTGGTCTAATAAAAGATATCATCTCTACTATGAGCCCCGATTGCCTTTTCCTTTAGACCAACGCAGCTACAACCTGGATACCCGATACATATAATATATCCACCCAGCTGTCTCTGAAGAGCATGCTTTACCTGAAGGGTGTTGAAAGCACTGTATTTGGAGTCTGAACAACTTGTCTTTGGGGTGTCACCCCAGAGAAGTCACTCTCGTGGAGGGGAGTATTCAGACCACCTTTCAGGGGGGTGTCTACGTTGGTTAGGGCCATCAAGTTCTGGGCTTCCTGTGTGATAAAGAAGAGCACGTTACTTACTAGGTTCTCCAAAGCCATAGCTTGCTCTGCAAATTAAATAGGCCTATTGTTAAAAGTGACTATGAATAAGATCAGTCAGGCAAAGGTCAAAGCATTTTGTTGAAAAATGTTTAAAATTTGCTAATTTTAAGGACACTATGGTTACGGATCTTGCACTTCAGTTATAACAGAAATATTTTTAAATGTCCTTTCCAATAAAATATCATACACAAACAGGTGCAAATATAAAAGGTTTGCTTAATATCTCAGTTTCCTTCAATCTGTCAGATGTTATAGCCAAGATTTTTTGAATCACAAGTATTTCTCGAAATACTGTTCACAATAGTTTAAAAGCGCTGCTACTCAAAATGTATTGTTGTGCCTATACTCCAAAAATCAGAGGCCAACAAAAATATCTAAAAAATTCATCCAAAAGCATTCATATATGCAAGCATCAAAATCATTAGGTCGTATCTGAAAAATCAGTCCATGACTGAAAGAGGACTTTGCCCTACAGTTAACTGTGTAGAATTTATACCCCCTTCTCTTAAAAACCAGCAGTACTATAATTTCTAGAAGGAAGCAATAATCCAGACATTCATCCATACTTTCATTACTGCCCAAATAAAGAATTTCAGGTATATTTTTCAAGAACGAGAGTTTTTGATGCCTAATTCCCCATGAAGTTTCCATTTGGTTCTTAGTAATGTTTGAATTTGAGGCTAATATTTTTATAAGTCAGTCTGGTGCTAGAACAATATTCCAGCAATTCTTATAGTATATTAGTTCAGCGAGCTACAATTTATTGTAGTTTTTTAAATTACATGATAAAGCTCAGGAAAACAAGTTTCCCTGGGTACACCTGGTATCTTTTATTAGACCAACTTAAATAGTTGGAAAAATTTCTCTTAACCAGGTTTTGGGCACAAACACCCGAGAGGAATTTTTCCAACTATTTAGTTGGTCTAATAAAGGATACCAGATTTACCCAAGGAACCTTGTCTGCCTGTGTCCTTAGACCAACATGGCTACCTACATCCATGATAAAACTCAAGTAGATAAAACAGATATTAACTATAGGAAATGATTTTTGGAATGAAATTACTGTTTTCAGAATGCAAGATCGGTTCAGTAAAATAAATTAGCAAAGCTTACCAAAACAACATAGGGGTAAGAGTTTCAAACAGAAACATTCTCCAATCACAACACTGACAACAAGCCAAGAACAATGGATTTCGCATTATCATAAATACGAGGGCTCTGCAAAATTTCAAAAGCCGTTTTGTTTCAGAGGTGCTTTGGCTCGTTTCAGTGCCCGAAACACCGAATCCGAAACAAAACGGAAGGCCCCACAGGAATAGTTCGGCACAGTCCCACAGTCCTTCTTTTAAAGTGCCGGGAGGCTGGGGCTGGGCAGGGGATGGGGCTGGGCAGGGCAGCCATGGGGGCTTCTCACACAGCTCCCCCCCCGCTGGGGCAGAGGCAGGCACAGCTGGAGGAGCCAGGGGAGAACCTGCAGCAGCCTGGCTGTACCTCTCTCTCCCCGGCCGACCTGAATCTCCGAACAGGCGCCAAAACAGCATCCAAACTCCAAAACAGATTTGGCTGAATCAAAACGGAACAGTGATCGGAAACACTGTTCTCCGAAGTGGCCGAATATGAAACCAAAATGAAACACAGCTGTTTTGCACAGCCCTACTAAATACTACACCTCCAAGCGTCAGCAGTTATTGACAAGGACAGACTATCCTTGTTAAAAGCAGATCACAGAATCATAGAAAATGATGGCCGGAAGGGACCTCAGGAGGTCACATCTAGTCCAACCCCTGCTCAAAGCAGGACTGTCTCCAACTACATAATTCCATTCAAAGTTTGTCGAACTGGATCTTAAAAACCTCCAAGGATGGAGCTTCCACCACCTCCCTGGGTAACCTGTTCCAGTGTTTTACTACCCTCCTGGTGAGAAAATTCTTCCTAATATCTAACTTCAACTTCCCTTGCTGCAACTTGAGACCATTGCTCCATGTTTGGTCACCTGTCACCACTGAGAACAGTCCAACTCCATCCTCTTTGGAATCACCTGTCAGGTAGTTGAAGGCTGTTATTAAATCTTCCTTTAGTCTCGTCTTCTCTAGACTAAATAAGCCCAGTTCCCTCAGCCTCTCCTCAGAAGTCATGCCCCCCAGACCCTGAACCAATTTTGTTGCCCTCTGCTGGACTCTCTCCAATTTGTCCACATCCTTTCTGTAGTGGGGGGCCCAAAACTGAACACAATATTCCAGATATGGCCTCGCCAGTGCAGAATAGAGGGGAAGAATCACTTCCCTTGATCTGCTGGCAACACATCTACCAGTGTAGCCCAGTATGCCAGTAGCCTTCTAGGCAGCAAGAGCACACTGCTGGCTCATATTCAGCCTATTGTTTGCTGTAACCCCCAGGTCCTTTTTTGCAGAGCTGCTGTCCAGCCAGTCAGCCCCCAGCCTGTACTAGTGCATGGGAGTGTTATGTCCTAAGTGCAGGACTTTGCATTTGTCCTTGTTGAACCTCATGAGATTCCTTTTGGCCTGACAATCCAATTTTTCTAGGTCACTCTGAATCCTAGCCCTACCTTCCAGCATATCTACTACTCCACCCAGCTTGGTGTCATCTGTAAATTTGCTGAGGGTGCACTCTATGCCATCTTAAGATCATTGATGAAGACACTGAACAAAACCGACCTCAGGACTGACCCCTGGGGCACTCCACTCAGTACCAGCTGCCCACTAGACATTGAGCCATTGATTACAACTCTGAGCCTGCTGCTCCAGCCAGTTTTTTATCCACCTTACAGTCCATTCATTTAGTCCATACTTCCTTAGCTTGCCTGAGAGAATGTTGTTGGAGACCATATCAAAAGCCTTACTAACATCAAGGTACATCACATCCACTGGTCTCCCCACATCCACAGAACCAGTCACCTCATCCTAGAAGGCAATCAGGTTGGTCAGGCATGACTCGCCCTTGGTGAATCTACACTGACTGTTCCTAATCACCTTCTCCAAGTACTTAGAAATGGATTCCTTGAGGATCTGCTCCATGATTTTTCCAGAGACTGAGGTGAGGCTGACTGGTCTGTAGTTCCTTGGACCATTCTTTTCCCCTTTTTTAAATATTGGCACTATGTTTTCCCTTTTCCAATCATCTGGGACCTCTCCTGATCGCCATGAGTTTTCAAAGATTATGGCCAGTGGCTCTGCAATCACATCAGCCAACTCCCTCAGCACCCTTCGGTGCATCCTATCCAGCCCCATGGACTTGTAAATGTCCAGCTTTCTAAACAGTCCCTAACCTGTTCTTTCACCATTGAGGGCTGCTCACCTCCTCCCCAAACTGTGCTGCCAGGTGCAGTAGTCTGGGAGCTAACCTTGCCTGTGAAGACTGAGGCAAAAAAGCATTGAGCACTTCAGCCTTTGACAGTATGACTATAAATCAGATTCCAAATTCAAACCCAGTTGGATTAAGGATAAATCTCTCAGCTTTCTTTTTTGTGGTACCTCAATCTTTTTGGTTCAACCCTCCAGTTAAAAACCCGAAGTTTTGCTCTGTCCATTTCCATTTTACCTGTAGGATCCTGTCCTGTGCAGCTGGGGTTTTGGGTGTTCGAAGGGCGATGCTGTTATTCGTGACATTATATTCAGATAAAAGGGTACTGGAAGCGGAGTTTGTAATTCCAGACTCTTCGGCTGTCTGACGGGCGATCTCACTTGCCTGGCCAACTTTTACTACTTCTTCCAGCTCTGTATCTGAAATCTGTAACAGGAAACTATTATCAAACATTAGCATACATTTGGGAGAATAACATTCTTAACTGCAGGAGTCTAAAACAGCATGGCTTTCACTCCAGTAACAATGGAGATGTCTTCTCCAAGCCAACTCAGCCAACGTCTTCAATCTACTGCATGTTGGTGGAAACGCTATTATTTTTAAAATGTATTTGCTAAACAACCAAACAGTCATAAAAAAACCATATCCTCAAAGAGGCGAAAGACAGAGCTTTGGCAGGTACAGCAAGTGTGATGACAGCATAAGCTTCTCCACACTGTGCTGCCAATATGTCACTGAGGTTGAGACAACAGCTCTGTCCATACCCATTAGTACGGTCTTTCTGCCACCAGAAAATGGTGGTAATTCTGGCGAGGCTGGAACTACACTACTGCCAGTCTCATTTCATACAGGCCACCAAGCAGCACAAGACAACAACTCATGACTCACAGACAGCTTACCTGAGGAGCTGGAAGAACCAGTTTGCTTCTTTTTTTAGTGAACTCTGACACTCCACTGGTTTGAAGGATAGCTGATGGCAAGTCAGATTCTTTTTTCCGTTTCAGATGTTGTTTGTCCTTTTTGCGTTCTCGTCCTTCCTTCTCACTATCACAGGGGACAAGAGTATCATTTACAAAGCTCAGAACTGTTCAGAAAAAAAAGATCCTGTACTCCAGCATATAAAAGGGGAGAGAAAGCACCAGTCTAGACCAACGGTTCTGAACAAAGGTACCACAATGTTAGCACCATTAGGTATGCAAAACCAGGTATTTCATAGGAAGTCAGTGTTGAAACCATTTTGCCTTGTTGTGGCCTTTCTGACTTCTTTGCTTTATTTGTTTTTTTTGACTACAGAAAAATAGTAAAAAGTAAGACTCAGAATTTTCCACAGGAAAAGTTTAAGTCTAAAAAGGGCGAGAACTACTGGTCTGGAGAGTCAGAAGGCCAACAAATGAGAGAGAGACTGCAAGCCAGAGAATACTACATTTGAAAATAGTAGGATTAGGGAAGTGTTTGCTATTTCAGCTGCATTTACTGGAGAACCATTGGTGCAAGAGACCATAATTGTCTGCAGGGAGAGGCAAGAGCACTGAATTAAAAATTCTCACTCCCTCCTTTCCCCAAGAATTTTAATAGAGGCAACTCTTACATATGTTGAAAGCAAGTAAGAATTTCCTCATTCTCTCACAGCTAGTAGAAAGCAGCAAAGGGGGGCAGGAACTTGGGAAATCAGACTTCGAGGAACAGCAAGAGAAACAACAGCTAAAGTTTTCTGTGGGAGGTGGGGGTAGCATTAGCAGGGCACAGATCCAAGTTTGAATTCATATGCTACATATATCACTTTTTATAAACAACAGTTGAATCAGGGGCTATAATTCCATCAAGAATTGCTGGTGGAGCCGCTTGTGTTTCCTTCTCATGGTTCACAGCCATGAAAACCTCTTGCAAGAATTACAGCTCTGGTAATTCACAGCCTTTCTGCAATTTACGCAGTACCTAGCAGGTTGCCTGCACTGCCAATAGTTAAAACAGAAATTAATTAGTTCAAAGTCTGTAAATCACATTAGATGGACTGCTGGATCTGTTCTCAATAAATAGCACTTGACAGATGCAACTGGGGACCAAATTATACAAGCAAAAATATCAGCTTGCCAGTTAACTCTGCATTTGACAATGTGTATGTAATTTCTCAACTGAAGGTTGTCAGAAAAAGAAAACTGTAAAAAACTTAAGCAGATTCTAACTATGTTATAATCACATCAAGTGACAGAAAGATATTAAAACAGCTTGCTCAAAGTGTTGCCAACACAGAAGTCAGAGCAATTAAAAGAAAGCTGTGCCTTGTAGGAAGAAAGACGATGAAATGTAATGGATCAAGACTTTGTTTATTGATGTAAAAAAAAATGAGATAGAACTGCCTGATGCAGGTGATTAACACCTTTCACTGGTTATCATGCAATTCTTCAATGTTTGAAAAATTTGGTTCAGGAGAGTAAAAAAAGTTTGAGGGGCCTCATCTGAATGCCCGGTTAACATTCTCCCACAATGTAAATGGACACAAAAATTAGCATGCTCATTAGTATTAAGAGCCTGGGAAGTGAAAAGGACTAACACTAAGTACAGTTAACTGGCACAAACCCCAGCGTGGAACGCAATGTTTTGCCTCAGGGAGCCAAAGACTAAAAAGCGTGACTTTGAATGTTCAAAGCAAACTTACGATCTTAGTTCCCCATCAAGATCTTGCTGACGTAGCTTCCTGAAGTCTGCATCCAGCGACTGGTAATTTTCCTCTGACGTATCATAAAAACCGGGGGCAGGCTTCTTTTCAAATGGGATTTCTGCATTATAATCCACACCTCTTTTCTTTTTTCTTTTCTTCTGGATCTCAATCCCTGCAGCTCGCAATTCCCGTCTCTTCTGGAGAGCCGCAAGGCGTCTAAGGAAATGCAGCGGACATTACAGGATTTCAATGGAAATGCTATCATTTTAACAACAGCTATGACTTAAGTACAAATGCTGTTATTTACTAAAACTTGACAGATCAGGGGTTGGCAACCTACAGCCTATGGGCTGGATCTGGCCTGCAAAGCTGCGACTTTGGTGGCATTTGATGGAGGGGAGCTCTGCCTTTGCCATACCACAGCTGGGCAGTGGGGAGAAACAGCAGAGGTCCTAGTGCCAGCCCACCTCAGACCTGAGCTGAATAATTTTGGCCCCACATTGCCAATCTCTATGACAGAGCATAACTAAATTACATTCTTACTACATCAACACCTAGATGATCCATTTAGGCCTACAGACCCACTGCCCCAGGTACTGAGCAAATACATACAAAATCCCTCCCAGGGAGAGATTATAGTTCAAGGCCCTGATCCTGCAAAGACTTAAGCCTGTGCTTAAACTCTGTGCTTTTGTCACACTGAAGTCAATGCACACAATCCTGTAATATAAAACATGCATGTATTTAGTTTCTGCAGGATGATGGTTTAAGACAAGTGCAGGTGGAGGGTGAGAGAGGAATATGCCAAGTCTATACTGGCCCCCACCTTTTCTCACACACAGAGTTTGTCGGGGGTGGGGGGGGGTTTGTGGGTTTTTTTTTTAATAATTTTAAAAATATGACAGGGCACCTGATCCAAATTTTCCTTCAAAGATGGCCAGTTTGCGTCTTTCTTTATGTTATCTCAGTAGAAGTGGGCTGAAGTGATGCTGAAGTTGGAAAGAACAGTGGATTCACAAATCCACTAGGGGAGGGAGATCTACGTTTGCAGGTCATGAGAAGAAACTGAAATCCCAGCGAGTCACAGAAATAGACAAGGGAGCATGGTGGATAGCATTGTGCTTACCTAGCTTCTTCCAGCTGCTTCTCTCTTGCTTTCCGCTTGGCTTTCTTTCCCTGAGTATTAGCCAGACGAGCTCTAGCTTCTGACAGCATTTCAAGCTCATCTGCAAGAATGCAGAGAAAAAAGGTTACCAACCCTTCCACTTCATGTTGAATAAGAAGGGCCAATAACAGAACAGAAAGAAACTCTTTAGAAGCTGAAATATCGGTGTGCTGGTCTGAGCACCACGGGCCTTCTACGTTCTTTTTCTCAACATAGTTTGCAAACCAATTCTCAACTGGGGCCAAGATTTTCAAGGGAAAAAATCAGAATGTTGGATGTATTTAATGAATTGGGGGATGGGACAGGATGGGACTGATTATACAAAATGCAGCACATGCATACTAGAAGGAGAGATTGAGTAGCCCAGGATAATAAAGAACACTCCCATTTATATTTAAACCTAGACAATAAGAGATGACTTCCCAAATAGATTCATGGAATCCTATTCCCACGCTTACTAGTCATCACTAATACCATAGGCGAGGTGTTGGGGGCAACATAGGGGGACACTTGCCCTCCCAGATTTCTGTGCTGACAGCAGGCCATGGGGCTGCAGCCTGGCTGGAGCAATGGCTCAGCAGCAGTGAAGTTGCAGTGGCAGTGCAATTTCTGTGCCAACGACAGGGTGTGGGGCTGCAGCCCAGCTGGACCCGCTGCCCAGCAGCAGCAAAAGTGGCAGCGCAGAGTTGTGCCCTCTCACTGCAGTGGCGGCACAGAGTTGTGACCCCACACTGGCAGCACTGACATGTCACCTATGTCTACTACTGTTACTATAACAAGCACCAATATGAATCCCTCTGAAGTCAAGTAACAATTTATTTATGAGACATACAAAAAAACCTAGAACTCTTGGTTCCAAAATGGTATCTTTTATTAGACCAACTGGGAAATTGCAAGAAAACTGTCCTTTTCTGCAATTTTCTTGCAATTTCCCAGTTGGTCTAATAAAAGATATCATTTTGGAACCAAGAGTTCTAGTTTTTTGTATGCCTTCTTGTCTCAAACCAACCCGGCTACCAAGTACACTCCTGAAATTATTTATAAGGAATTGGACATGAAAGCATGGCAGATATAAGAATGATTCTGGGAGGAAAGGTAGAAGTCCAAACAAAGGAAAAACAGCCAAGGAAACAGAAAACAATGGAAGAGAGGGAAGGGGGTAGGCCATCTACCCACTGGAGGAAGAGACAGCATGAGAATGAAGGACAGAAAACAGGAAGCTAAAAGACCAAGAGGTCAGATACAAAGCACGAGATAAAAACTAGGAGGAGCACAGATAGATGTCTATGAAGAAGCAAAGTGCAGAAAAGTCAAACAGAAGTCAAGGAAACTGAATTGTTCAAAAACACCGATACATGTTAATAACTTACCTTCATCCATATCAATGGGGTCTGGCCGGGCTGGTTTGGTCTCTGGATTTGGATCAATTTCTCCAGGTTTAAGTTTTCGAGGATCATCTGCAGTTTCTTCCTCATTATCTCTCTGAGCAGCTTTGTCCCTGAAAAGTAGATTAGCAAAATCAGATGAGACAATTCACTTTATACATTGGAAGAACACACAAAACTCTCTCCAAAGCCCATGACAGCAGCCCCAGAAGAGTTAAGCCAGTAGCTCATGACTGTTATGTAACTGTTAATTGCAGTGAAGAACTGCAAGTGCTGACAACACTGGTATTTCAGCTACTGGAACACAGGTGTTTGACATTAATAAAGATAACCAAAAGAAGAATGAACAAAGCAATTTGAACAATTCAGCACCAACAAAAGAAAACAAGAGTGAGCTCACTTGTTAATGGCTATGCATGGAAAGGAACTGATTATGAAAAACTGTTGCAGAACGCACAACTGAGTATCTCACTTACTTTCTTTAACCACCGATGCCTATGGCAGCACCAGTAGCAGCTTACAGAATAAGGAAACTAGGGCTATCTGCTCCATCTTCCCTGTTGGCTCATTGGAAACCGCTCCAGCGCACCGTGATGAAGCAGCATCCACCCACTTCCACACACATGCAAACAGGCCCAAAAGCCAGATAAGCTCAGGTTCAAGCAAAAGTTGAAAAATGGCTGCAACGTCAGGAAACCCATTTGTAGCAAAATGCAAAGAAAATGGGCATGTCAGTGCCTTTCCTGCTCTTTCCAAGTACCAAGAGCCATCCCCATCAAGCTAGGTGGCTCACCCTAGCAGAATACCACTCTTAGAGGTAAAGCCCACTGGAAACCCCTCCAGCTGTAACAGCAGGGAAGAGAAAAAAAAGGCCTTCACACAGCCAGATGCCTACTGTCATCAGCATAGTAAGCTACAAAGGGTTTCATGCTGTGCCTTTTTAGCACAACAGAGTCACTTACAGCAGAAATTCATAGTGTTCCAAGCATTGTGCAGCTGTTCTTCCAATGATTGGGGCGATGGTCCTCCACTGGGTTGGCATTAGCTTGGCTAAATGTAACAGTTTCTCCTCCTCTTCCCGGGACCACTCAGTCTTTTTGATGCTTGGGTCCAGCCACTCGTACCTGTTACACAGTGGATAAATTAAAAAGGGCACTTCCAAGATACTTACTTATGAACTGCCACTGCTCGGATGGAGTTTCATAATCACATCACAGTTATTTCCAATCTGTGCTTTGAATAAAAGTGTCCATATAAACACAGCACTTTCACACACAGAAAAAGCTCCAGAAATGTTGTCCTGTTTTCTCAGTTACTCTCATCTTCTCTCATCCCTGCCATCTTACTTTGTCAGCAACCAAGACTCAGTAATCTAGTCCATAACTAGTAATTGGACCTTAATATATGACATCCAAATGATTACAAGAGGTTCGTTGGAGTCTTGATCCTGTACCATCTGAACCATTCAGATTTCATGAGCACTATAACTAAGCAAAACAAAGTGCACATGTTTAAGTACAAACACAGTAAAGCAAAATAAAAAAAGCAAAGGCTATGGTCCTGCAGCCAAAATTTATTGCAGAAAATGCACTTAAAATGACCTTATTTAATGAATATTTGACAAATATCATCACACTCACAAAAAACAATTTGATTTAGTCCAATAATTTGCATTTTTAAACAAGTTATTTGCATACTGTGCAGTTATTGCTATAATCTGCAATTTGAATAGTTTTCTACTTTTGCTCATAGTCCTTTTAAAGAATAAGTCCTTGCAATACCTTCAGGAAATGTAACCAATTAAAAATTTTGAAACTATTTCTTCTTCCGCTAGACCTGAACCAATAGGAAACTCAACAGTGACCTTTTAAATTCATTAATGAATGATCTTTGTCTTTGAATGCCAGTAATGGCTTTTGTCTTCTCCGCTTACCATCTGGCTTTGCACTGTTTTGCTGACTTTCTATGCAACAAAGAAGCAATCCGAGACCACTGGTTTTTGCCATATTTCATTACAGCTGCTTTAAGAATTTCATCCTTAAAAAGAGAAATAGTTGTTATTACTATGGGTCAGTAGTAAATTTTATCAGAGCCAAATGCTCACTTGCAACTCAATAGGGAAATGCAGACAAGGCTTCAGCAAGGGTTAACACCTGAAGGTAGATGTGATTAATGAAGTGAAAATAGTGACAGTCATTTATTCTGAGTATACGACAGCATTTGGGGAACAGTCAGTCTCACCATTTCTCCTGTATAGTTAATTTCCATTGTTTGTGTGGGTCTTTCAAGGAGCAAGAACATCCTATTTTTAAAAAATTCTCACCCGTGTAAATATCATGAAAATCAGGGCAGGTATACAGCTAAAACGGACTACTTTTTTTAAGCAGTCTTTTTTTCAAGATGATGGTGTCTTTATTTTTCAGGACTGTAGTACCTGACAGTTCAAGTCATGGGTCAGAACTCCACCGTGCTAGATGCTGTACAAATGCAGAGCAAAACTAGAAGCTTCAGGGATGCAACACAAATTACACAAACTTATCCCAGCTTGCCCGCACCAGGTCTGTACTAGTAGAGCTAGTGGTTCACATGCTTATATTTGCCCCTTAGGCCTACAGTAAACTTTTGTTCTCCTATAAGTGATTTAGTAAGCTATGGGAGAGGCAAAGATTTTTTGGGGGTGATTCCTTTTACTGGACAGCTGAATAGCTGGGATAAAGTTAGACGAGCTTTCAAATGCTCAAAAGCTGAAAAGCTTGTTACCCCTTTTGAGACTTTCCTGGGGGCAGAAGACAATGCTTTCCTAAATAACTGAGTGGAAACCAGAAGTCTTATTTTGTGCAGCGAAAAGCACACAAGGGGGCCATAAAAAGTGCAGTCTATGAAGTGCTCTATCGCTATTTGCTACAGCTTTGTCTAAGGATATGGTGGGGCAAAATGGAAGGGCATCCACTGTTGACAACAGACAGCTGGGGTCAACATATATTCAGCACCAGTTCAGCAGCTAATGGTGCCGATGGCAGGTAAATCTTCCTAACACTGAAAAGCCCTTCCAAAGTGTGTTCTGGCTTTAATGGGAGGCTGATGAGTTTTGGTGCAGGGTATTTCAGGAGAATATTAAGTATTTAATATGAAACATGCTCTACAGATTTACTTTCATAAGCCTCAGATTCCCTTTTCTTGGTAGTTTTTATTTCTTTGCTGGCGGTTGGTAACACAGGGCCCTTCTAGATATTGAGATAAAGGTGTGATGGGATCTGATGCATGATCCATACTATCATGTGTCCTGCCACACCAGACATACATGGCAGGAAGCATGACTGTGGGATTCAACATCAGATCCAATCATGCCTTACTGCTTATGCAGGGGGACCCTGACATCATGATGCCCGACTTCTCCTCCACTGACAAGTGGCAAGCTCCCGTGGCAGTGACCCCTGCAGCTGACGGGGCTCACAGCTGTGACAATGCGTGGGACACTGCCATGACTGCAACTCCAGCAGCTGCAGGGCTTGCAGCGTGCATGGTGCACAGCTGAGCCCCGTCACAGGGGTGGCCACATGTTCAACTAATGGCGCGATAAGAACAAGTCACGAAGCAACGGCACATATTTTATAAAATAATTTCATGACTTATTCCTCCTTTTACCACACCACTAATTTATGAAGCATGTGGCCAGGTCACCACTTCAAACACGATTCCCTGGTCAATTGTGTCTTAAGGGTCATGTGTAGCGGGGGCGGGGGCCCATGGGTGCAATTAACTCTGTGACAGTGAAACAGTCACAGCAGCTTTTTATCGTGACAAATCATTTGCTTCGTGTCAATCATCCAATGATGAGACCCCAAAGCCTCTATGCCAGGGGTGGGCAGAATGCGGCCCGCCAGGACATTCTATCTGACCCGTGGGGGCCCTAAATAATTTAGAAAATTAAGGGGGTGGCGGGGTGGAGGGAGGATCCCTGAAGATGAGAGATTATTTGTGCTTCGCCCCAAGATAAGCAGCACGAAGGCTGCTTAGGCAGGAGCTGAACCAGGGGACTTCTCTTGGCAGAGGGCTGCTTTGCGGCTTCTTACTCCATATACCACCACCCCAAAGGAGGGAGACGGAGAAGTTAAAAACAAAAACTCAAAGCGGGACTAAGAATACCCTAAACTCCCTCGTGAGCCCAGGAAACCTGAGCTGCGTTTGGCCACAAGGAAGGAAAGCAGCCCAGTACAAACACACTCAGTGCATGCGCACGTCTCCCAGCCGCCTCCCCCTATAAGCGCATGCGCAGGACTCCCGGGCCCTTTTCGGCGCATGCGCTCTCGTGTAGAAGCGCCGTCCGTTGACTGGCCCCGTGGGAATCGGGGGGGGTACGGGAAGGGCCTACCTCGGTGTTCCTCCACACCCCGCCTTTAATCATAATCCGCGGCATCTTGGCGGCGAAGTGGAGCGGGCTTCGCAGCGGAGAGAACCGGGGCGGGCGCGGGAGAGACGCCGCCGCCGCCTGCGCGCAGGCCGGGATACGATTCTGCGCGGGCGCAGTGAGGGCAGGCGAGTGTCAGAGCTCTGCGCATGCGCAGCGGAGAATGTCGGCCACCGTTCGCGCATGAGCGGGCACAGAAGGCGGGGGAGAGAGGGGCTGAGGCGCGGAGCGAATCTAGCGCCCCCTGGCGCGCGGAGGTGGTGTTGGCGCGGGGGTCGCTGAAGGGCCACGTGTGTCCGTGCTCTGCCCCGCAGGTTCTCGTGCTCGCAGGCGAGGCTCCCTTGAAACCCTCGCACAAGTGCAAGCCCCAGGGCCCGCGCCATACAGCTGCCCCTGCACTGGCACCAGTGCAGCGTGTGGGTTTGGAGGCCTGGCAACTATAGGGCTACTGCAGACCAGGGGCAGCATTTCTGGCTCCTTGCTGGGGTCGTGGGAGTGGTCAAGGAGCTTGCCCGAGATGAAGATCCCGAGTCTGAAACCCGCCCCCACTGAATGCCCCGTCTGCCCGCTATGGAAACCCATCTTAAAAAGCGTGTTTGCAAGACAAGGGTCTTTGGGGAAATCTGGTATCAGATTTACTCCCCCAAAAAACCTCATCTGCTTACATCCTTAGATCACCACGGCTACAACCTACACCTTTGCAAGACAACGGGTCTGTTCTGATCCACGAGAAACGTGCGGGTGCTGGTCGGGAATGTGCGCTTCGCCCGCGCTGGCATCCTTGTTTGCAACGTACCTTTTCTACGCAAGATCATTTTGTGGAAGTCCTAGAGAAGCGGGGCTGGAAGGGACCTCTGGACGTCACCTAGTCCAACCCCCTGCCTGAGGCAGGATTGTCCCTATCCAAAGCTTCCTGTGCAAAGCCGTCATCTAAATAAACTTAGTACAATTACTGTCAATCCTGACGTGACACAAGATGTAACACCCTAACTTGCCAGAGGTGCAAGAATGCAATCTGGGGCATTGGGCCAATGTCCTTTAATAAAAGGTTGTTAACATTTGCTCAAGACATCCCAGGGAGAGCCACATCCCCTGCTAGAGAAAGGCAATCCCTCCGTCCCTCTCAGTCTATACCAATCTGACCTTGGGGTAAAATTCCTTCCTGACCTCAAATATGACCATTGGTCTGACCCTGAGCAGAGGGGCAAGACCAGGAACTTCTGGCTTTGGTCTCAGCAGAAACATTAGCACATCCCAGCCAAAATCCTCAGCCTTGCCTGTAGCCAACACCCAATGCCTTAGAGAGGCTTAAACACATCCTGACACATGTAGCAGTAAGGAGGGGAGCAGATTAGGGGATTCTTAGTATTACTTTCTTCTAATTTCTACCTCTGTTGGGATAATCGTATCAAGTAAGCCACCCTAAGCAACCCCTGCCATTAGAAATCCCCTGGTTCAGCCCCTGCTTAAGCAATCTTGCCACTGCACATCCTGGACATGCAAATAATGTCTACTATTGTATCTACTAATGTCTACTATTGTATCCAGAGTAAAGGGCCCAGTGGTTGGTCCCTCAAGCTGTATTTCTATTAGGAAAGGAAATAGCCACTGCTTTGCTGAGCAGCCTTTGTACACTCAGTTTTAGAGGGACAGTTAAAAAAAACCCTGATAAAATGAAGTAGCTTGAAATCAGTTTGTGATCACTGCAGCACAGAAGCATTTTGAAAAATTTCAGGGTATTCCAAGATACTGCTTTACAATGGTTATTAAAATCTTACAATTATTACAGTATTCATTGCATTTTGAAGAAGCCATATTAACAGCCTCTGTTTATAAAGGCAAAGCTGTAAATACTTCAATGGCTAACACTGCATTTTACCAACTTTTGAGCTAAGGTTATTTTAACACATTTAAGACTTTAATACTGGAAATGTACATCAAAACCATGTACATTATCTGAACACAATTCTATACAAACTGATGAATAGAGATGCAGCACATTTCCATTATTTATCTTTTCCATAGCAGAGAATTTTTCAAAAGATATGGGCAGCAATGTAGAACATGAACTTAAGTGTATTTTTCAGAAACAGCAGTCCACGTTTATAACAGATGCAGGAATCAACTTAGTCACCTCTTCTAAAATAATTTACTTTATTTGATCTATAATCCTACATAAACAAAACTCTTCATGGGTTATGAATTTTAGTAAAAAACAAGGTACATGGGAAACAAGCAGTGCTAAGAAAAGTCTCCTTTAAATTACTATTAGCTAAAATAATAAGAAAAAATTAAAAGACCCATACTTTTTCTATGAAATGTTTATGACCTTGGAGAAGATTTTCTGGACTGGGCTGCACAATAACTAGGATAAAAGTGGTGGGCTCGGCTGGAGCCAACCACGCTTTGTAACTTGCGCTTCCAACTTTTTTGGTTGCAAACAAGTTTGGTATTTATCCAGAAACGAGTTTTGAGGATGCTCAGCATCTCACAAAATTAGGCCACTAAAACGGTGGCATGCAAAATATAGACGATTATTTCTGTCAGGCTGCCTGAAAAGTAAACAAGCATCAAAAGATGCATTCACATCAGCAATTCTCAACCAGAGTGCTACGAGACACCCGCAGGAGTGCTGCGATGCCACACATTGTACTCTTGCATTAGAGTTCCCTGATAACCCTAAAGCAGGCAGGAGCTGGCTCAGGCTGTAGGTCTTCCCAGTCTGTCCCCGTTCCCACTCGACCTGGAAACAGAGGCATGAGAAAGAGGCGCACAGGTGTAACTGTTCCCGGGAGTGCCAGACTGGGAAGGGCTATAGGAGGAGGTAGCTCCTGCCTGCTTTAGGTTAATCAGAGAGCCCTACACAGGAGGATCACACACAAGTGCCACGGCCATTCCCAGTCTGGCTGTGCAGCAGGTAAGTAGGGCAGTTTTATCTGGAGGCAGCAACATCCGGTTGACAAGCACTGAGGTAAGCTGAGCCAGCAACAACAGTGGTTCTCAACTGGGAATGTCGCCACATTCAAAAAAGCGGTGGAGGGTGACTCTGGAAAGTCTTTCATTTCTCCTCTCCAGGACTGAAAAGGCAAGATGTCAACATGGATCAGTGGCTAGTAATCTATTGACTGGAATGTGTTTACACGTACCCTTTAACCCGCATCGTACATCTCTAAATTGGTGATTGCAATGACCTGGTTCCATAAGTTATTTTCTTAAGTCCGTCCTCTGGACACTGGTATAGAAAACCCCCAGAACAGGGATTGCAACATACAGCAAATGGGAGGAGGGATCCATTTTCAACTAATTTTTCACACAACTCTGCAATTTTTAGTTTGCAAGTTGCTGATGTGCTAGAAAGAATTGGATTAAAAATTATTTCACTTAAATATGTTTTGTCTGCACATCTCAATCATGTGGTACAGAAAAGATCAGCCTAATATAAAGGTGGGGCCTGTGCTGAAAATAAGTACAGGAACTCAAATAGCACCTCACATCCTTGCTCACAAGGCAATGGTAGGTGGTGCAAAAGTGTGTTTATCAATCAGGTAAGCACTTACAGAACAACTCTTTCCTATACCAACCCTGGCCTAGATTTTCACCCTTTTCTTAAACTACATTGGGCTTTTAACAGCTTTGAGTCTTTTTAACACAGCACATGATGGAACTTAAATTAAAAATGTACATGTGTTTTATGCCCGCTTTATGCATCATCCCTTAATTTCCATTCAGTGTACTATAGCCCAGATCCCATGGGTGCTTCCACAATTTTTACCATGGCAACTTTAAAATTGATGACAGTTGGCATAGTGGATGCAGGGCAAAGAACATGTTTGAAATACTGTGAACTTCCTGGAGCTTATAACCCCAAATTTTAATGAATCCTATTTTACTGTCCAGTCTTCAAACACTGCTGATTGATGGTTCTATACAAAACTGAGGATGGAAAGCATTATATTGAACTTCAGGTATCTGCAGGTTTATCCTTGTGCACTTTTATGTGCTTCTTCAAAGCATATTTATCCCTAGTGGAAAACTCACAGGAATTGCAGTGTAACTTCAAATGAGTCAGCAAGTGGCGCTTGAGGTGGCTCGATGTGCGGAAAGCAAGAGCACATTGGTCGCACGTGTACGGCCTTTCACCTGTATGAATTCGCAAGTGTTGCTTCAGGTTTCCACTGTGAGCAGTGGCATAGCCACACTCTTGACACCTGTAGGTTTTGACAGACAGTGGTGATGGCTCTCGGAGCTTGGTACCATCCATATGTGAAACCAGATGCTGCTTGAGGGTTTGCCATTTGTCTGTTGAATAGTCACAGGTTTTACATTTGAAGAGCTCCGTGTTGAAATGCAGGAGCTTGTGTCGATTTAGGTGACTTGTGGTACGAAACTTCTTCTCACAAATATCACAGGCGTGGGGTTTTTCACCTGTGTGAATCATGACGTGGAGCTTAAGGTTACTTAAAACGTATGTCGTGTAATTGCATTCTGCACACTTGTAGTATTGGGCTTGACTTTGTGATGGCAGAGCATTTTTGCTTTCTTTGCCCCTGTAAAGATCCATCGGTTTCTCAAAGCTTTCTGGGCTGAACATGGAGTGGACACGCTCCAAGTCTTCCACAGAACTAAGATCATCTCTTCTTAGAGTTGTGCCCTGAGTTTTACACTGCTTTTTAATACGTTTTGAACTGTTCCTTAAATACAGGTAAGAATCATCATATTTACGACATTCCTGTAAGTGCATGTAGCTATGTCTCCGCAAATGGCTAGAGGTCCGAAACATCTTGCTGCATTCATTACACTCAAATGGTTTTTCACCAGTGTGTGTCCTCAAATGCAGCTTAAGGTTGCTATACATGTAAGTGGCATAATCACAGTGTTGACACCTGAACAGTTTGAAAGAAGTCCTACTGGGTGACCTTGTGGCATTAGGCGTAACACTTTCCAGAGGCTCATAATTTGTAACAATTTCATTACATCCTGGAACTTGTGAATGAGTGACCTCTTGAGACAACTGCGGCAACACAAAATCATGCTGGTAAGTATTAGGAAGATTTTCTAATCCATTGTCTACAATAGACAGATTGTTACTTTGCTGCTGGCTACTTTTGCAAAATTGTGTGTCGAACCTTGTATTCATATCCCTCTGGAGATCACTCTCCTGTTCAAACTCTGATCCTGAAGCTAAGTCCAGGTGCGTTTCATTAACCAAGTGATCATCATCACTATTGTTGGAAGCAGGAGGAGGAATCTGATCCTTTGGGAAATCTCTGTCATCTCCATACGCTTCACTTCTATGACAGTTGTCACCCTCATTCATGTAAGCATAACTTTCAACTCGCTTGTGAAATTTCTTATGAAAGCGTAGGTGTCCTTTAGTGTAAAATACAACGTTACACTGATCACATGTATAACTCTTTGAAGGTCTTTCATTTCTCCTCTCCAGGACTGAAAAGCTGAGGTGTTGACGGACTCTGCACAATTCTTTGCCAGCATGTATACTTCTGTGCCGCTTTAAGCCGCTTGTACTTGTGAATGCTGACTGGCAAAATTCACAGGAATATGGTTTGGCCCCCATATGCATGTAGCTGTGTCTTATCATGCTTGCAAAATACAGCGAGAAAAAATTACAGAACCTGCACTTATACAGCTCATAGCCAGCATGCCAGTACATGTGATTCAGCATATAAGACAAGCTAATGCAGGAATAGTCACACTCAGGACACCGATAAGGCGGTGTGTCTCTATGTCCCTTCACGTGATGAATAAAAACCTTAGGATTTGGTGAAGCAAAGAGACACACTTTGTAAGAAAAAAATGTGGGAGTACCTATCGTTTTAAAATCCCTTCCAATTTTGGTGAAAAATTTCTCATATTTACTTTCCTTTTTCTTATCCAAAGATTGTGCTTGCGCTGTGTTTTTTCCATCTTTTGCAATGTTCGCTTCGTTATATTTTCTTATATATTTTAACCCTGCCTTATGAAATGCAAGGTGGAATTTAAGGTTGACAAAAAAGAAAAAGGTTCTCTGGCAAAAGCAGCATTTGTGTATTTTTTTATCTTGATGCACTGAGTAAACATGTTTCTTTAGAAGATTGGTACATTTATATGCAGAGCTACAAAACCTGCATTTGAAATTCAGCCTCTTCTTATGCTTATATGCAGACAATCTCAGAGAAAGTGCTTTGCTGTTGTACTCATCGTCTAGTAGCAATGTCTCTTCTTGCTGTTTTACATCCAGTTGTTTTACATGTTTTGTAATCACATGAGACATATCAAGATTTTCTGAGCTTCCCATTTCTCTAGAAGATGAAGGTAATGATAGATGAACACGGTCTTCAGAAATAATGGATTCAATACCATTCATTGCTGATTCACCTGCATTTTCTGGCAAATCCTCCAATATAGAAGAGTCTTCATTATCAACCGGGGCAGAAGTATTTTGAACACACTCTCTTTCTTCTACAACATTTAGATCTTCTTGAATGTCATTAAGTTTTCCAGAATTTAGAGTTTCATCTTCAGAACCACGTTCCTTTCTTGATCTGTCTTCAGCTTCATTATTTTTGTTCTTTGAAGGGGAAAGATCTGAAAAGAAAACACATGTGACATTTTACCTGAGTCTCTCACGACCTATCAGGATATGTTATGCCCAGTTATCAACAGCATCAGTGGAGGAGGAGGCAAACAGAGGGAGACGGAAGGCAAAAGCAGAGACTATGTGAGTACTAGCAAGAGCTGTTGTTCAGAATAGAATAGGGAAGGAGTCAGCAACTTCCTTTTGGGTGGGGATCATTTTAATGGAGCTAGCTTGAAAAGCAGGCTGCTTCCAATCTGGCGTGTGTCACCGCTCCACTTATCCCAGCTGTTATATGGGTGAAGCCCCCTACTGCTAAAACACTGCAGAAGTCCCCCAGCTCTGGAGGCCCAATAAAATAGCTCTGTGGGGACAGATCCACCTTGTGAGCCAGTGTGCCAACCCCTGCAAAGGGAATGCTACTAGCTGATGCCATAAAGGGGTAAGATAGTTTCACCATATTTTTACAGCCAGCTGTAACAGCAATGAAACACCACAACACTGAGGAGTGATTTAGTTACCTTTCTTCACAACCTGTATCTCACCCTTCCTGGTGGGCAACGTTTGGTACTAAAATTATGCCCTGAGAAGTATATACAGGGTGTACGTACATAAAATGCTTTGCTGTGCAGCAGACTAATCTACTGCGCAGTAAAGCATCACCATCTACATGTGCACACCATTTACTGCACACTAGATTAGTCTACTGTGGTTGCCAATTTAGTGTGCAGTAGCGCATGTGTAGACTGCTGACCGGGAGGAAATTGCTCCCGATCAGCCCAGACAGCAGTGGGTGAGGAAGCTGTCCCTTCCGCCAGGTAGCTGTTTCCCAGCCCCATGCTCCAATCCACAGACTGGGGCTAGAAAAATGTCCCCAGGTGTTGCTTCCCAGCCCCATTCTCTTATTAGCAGATCAGGACATGGGGTGTGAAAAATGTACCCTCCCCCAGCTGCTGCTTCCCAGCCCCATGCCCTGATCTGCGGATGTAGGGGCTTTACAGAACAGGATGTAGATGTGCCCATAGTATAGGAAAGGTGTTTGGTATGGTTCCTCAAATAATATGGATAACATGTTTGGCCTGCACTATACCTGCGAATTTAGTCCTGGTTGTCTGGGCAGTATGGTGTTTGGTTTTCCCCCAATCCTTTCTATACTATAATTTTACTTTCTTCTGTTTTCTGTTTCTCCATTTTTCTCAACCCTTTCTATGTAACTTAAAAGAGAATTAAGCTTAGGTTTGTCACTATATATTTGCGTATGTTCATATGGGGCTTAGAATTTCACCCACCACCTAGTAATCAGAGGATTAATCCTACTGGCTGCCAAGCATGACAGAGAGGAATAACACGATACTTTCCTCTGCAGCATCTGGGAAAGAGCTAGGTACCAAAAGTATTACCAAGGTACTGCCCTAAATTCTTCCTAGTCTCCCTTTTATATCAGTGTCTAGCCTGGGGCGGGCAATTATATTGGGCGGAGGGCCGCTTACTGAGTTTTGGCAAGCCATCGAGGTCCACATGACAGGCAGCCAGGGGCAAATATATATTAATTTTCTACATTTTTTAGGGGCCCTGCAGGCCAGATAGAATGGCCTGGCGGGCTGCATCCTGCCCGCGGGCCACATTTTGCCCACCCCTGGTCTAGCCAGTGGGTGCCTGATATGAAACTTTCTAATCTTTGCTAGAATTGCTTGGCCCCAGGAGCTGGGAATGGGGGAGGAGAATACTTATAACTGTGCCACCCTCCCAGCTGCAGTGAGGGAGGCAATATTTTGCTACTCACTACACTTTCACTCAGATTTCTGGCTGAGGAAAAGGGGGAGAAGTGTTTCAGCTTCTTTTCCCATACCCTAGCTTTCAGATTTGAATCTCTCAATTATGAACAAATATCAAACCAATATCATTTTAGCTGATGCAGGCTTCTGGAAAACAAAAATGACAGCTAGACTGTGGTCAGTATTCACTCTGCTGAAATGTGTGTGATCTTTCAGCAAGGACAGACACATTGATGCCATCCAGGTATTCAGGAAAGTAGAAGTGCTTTGGTTTGATATTGGTTCATATGTGATAGGCAATCTATACAAACATAAGGGCTGGAAACTGAATTGCAAAAAACCCCCAAAAGCTTAGATTCTGCAAAAAAGTACTGATAGTCTTCCTGGAAAGTTTACAACTTGTTTCAAAGAGGAAGCTTTCAACTCTTCATAGAAATCTTAGAAAGTTAGGGCTGGAGGGGACCTGATGAGGTCATCTAGTCCAACCCCCTGCTCAAAGCAGGACCATCTCCAACTAAGTCATCCCAGACAAAGCTTTTGTCTAACCAGTCTTAAAAACCTCCAAGGATAGAGATTTGACCACCTCTCTAGGTAACCTATTCCAGTGTTTTACTATTCTCCTAGTGAGAAAATTCCTCCTAATATCTAACCTAAACTTCCCTTGCTGCAACTTGAGACCATTGCTCCTTGCTCTGTCATCTGTCACCGCTGAGAGCAGTCCAGCTCCGTCCTCTTGTGAACCCCCCTTCAGGAAGTTGAAGGCTGCTATAAAATCCCCTCAGTCTCCTCTTCTCCAGACTAAATAAACCCAGCTCCCTCAGCCTCTCTTCATAAGTCATGTCCCCT